TACGCATGATCTTATAAAAACCTAGGATGTTTAATACCAAATCATCCTGTTCACATAAATAGCATCGTAGCCTCGATGCACTAGAAAGACAGCTGCATACATATGAAAAATAGTGGTGTTCGTTTTACAGGACAATTTAACGCAAGTGCATACTGCACACGTATATCGGCAAACGCACTGCAAACGCAAATATGGAATCCTAGCTTAAGATGTAGAAGCTGTCGCCAACACAAGAACCAGGGCCGGATTTACCAATAGGCCAAGTAGGCCATTGGCCTAGGGCTCACCGGTATCTGGGGGCCCACTGAAACTAATTTGTCACGCAGCGTGCCAGCGTATAACCTTGTTTCAAGTGTACACCGTGAAGGTTCCAAGTGTTTCCTGAAGAAAGCAGTGATGGGTAGGGAAACACCGGGTAACACTGAAGTCCATTTATTAAGGGATAGGAGAAATACAAGTGGTGACTTGCGTGTGCCATGCACGGCCCACAGAGTCAGACCGAGACTGCCTTGCCATATGGCAGCCTCGGGGCAATGTTGCCACATAACACGTGCAGTGTTGCCACGTGATTACATATATAAATGCTACTCGGCACAGTAGCTTAGATACATAACCTACATCTCCCTCCCCCCTCACGCCGAACTCCTTGCAGTGCTCCCACGACAACAAGGGTGTAGCAAGAGTAGGCTGCACGTCGATCCATCCGTGACACGACCTGTTGCCGTAAGTGATCTCCGCTTGAAAGGAGCCCACAGCGTCCGGCATCTGGTAACTGTCCGCATTGTAGTACTGCAGCTGCAACGGTGGTCCCAGGCCGCGTTTGGTGAGGCCCAGTTTCTGGAGGTGCTTCAGGCCTATCACCTTAGTATCAGCATCGGTGTCCGGTATCACCTCGATGTGACCCGACACATCACAGTGTGTGATGGCGACGCGGATGGTACGGGAAGGGGTAGCCCTGGGGCGTGTGGTCGATTCCACTCTCCTGATGTGACTCAGCTGCTGCTTGGGGCTGCGTGGGCCATCTGAAGGGGGCTGCGTGCGAACCACCCCGAGGGAAGTGCGCTGCTTTCCTCCTCATCTCGGGCTTTTGGGCTTGGGTTGGCGGCAGCACTTGTCGTAGTGTCCATAGCGACCGCAGGCCTGACACTTGCGGCCTCGTGCAGGGCACCTGTCTGTGTTAGACCAGTGGCCCTTACGGTCACATTCACGACACAGTGCTTCGGCGGCCGGGCATGTCTTGGGGACCATGCTGCTTTCCACAGCTGCCACAGGAAGCACTAGGAGGAGGCGTGGAAGAACGTGCGGCAGCCTTCACGTTGTTGGCCGCCTTCTTACCCTTCTTGTACTGTGAGATAGCTTTCACAGCAGGTGGGGCCCGTAAGGCAGAGGTGGCGGACTTGGTGGCCTCGTATGACCGACATTCAGTCACTACCACCTGGAGTGTGGAGGAAGCGTCCAGGGGAATGAGTCGCTGCACCAACTCTTCTTGCCTGACACCTGTCAAGATCCCGTGCTTGATCCAGGCTTCCTCACATTCCTGGCTGTGCGCCTTGCAGACGTCGATCTCCTCCGACAAACTCTTCAAGCGTACAAAAAAGTCGTCAAAGGATTCATTCTCCGCCTGCTTGCAGCTGGTGAAGGTGCGGCGACGCAAAGCCTCATTATTCCGACCCTTAACGTGCTCCTGCAAAAGGTCGAGCACATCCGTCACTGAAGAGGTAGAATCGGGAGGCACTTGCAATGTGTGCTCCAAAACTCTCTGGGTCTCCAGCGACAAACACATCCTCAGTTGGATGAGCTGTTTGTTTGGAGGCATGCTGTCAAGGTCCACCATCGTGGAGTAATCTGTCCACCGCCGCCCCCACTCACGAAAAAGCTGAAACGTGACATCTGGTGAGAGGGCGGGTGGGGGTTGAACAGATGCCTTGGGAGCTGTTGGAGTAGCTAGAGTGCCTGAAGGATGCTGGTCTGGTGGGGGAGGGAGGGTACTGGCGCCTTGGTGCGCGAGTGAGGGAGGGTGGGTTAGCGCCAGGGTCGCCAATATTGCATCAAAGCGCGCCTTTTCCTCCTCTCTTCGTGTCTCCTCCCTCTGAAGTTCCATCTCTCTGCATCTCTGGTCCCTGTGATCCATCCATCTCAGAATTGTGGCAATGTCCGTCGCTGTAGGTAAAGGATGAGGGGCGGTGGGCGCAGAAGCTCCATCTGTGCCCGGTAGAGGAGAAGGTGGTGGGGAGTCGTGTCTCCCATCTTGACGTTGTCCCTTCTCACCGCCCATCTTAGTATGCTTGAACTGCGCTATTTAGTATATAAAGTGGCGCCTCATCAGCTCGAACCACATATATATGACATAAACAGCGCAGAAATAATGCATAGAGTCCACTGTTCTGTCCGTGAGTGCGTGCGTGCGTGTGTGTGTGTGTGTGTGTGTGTGTGTGTGTGTCTCAGAGAGCAGAGCGTGGTGGCTCGCGGAGGCAAGACCGTCAGTGTCTCCCCGGATGTCACACGAAAAGGGTGTACGCCTGCGTGCTCCATGGGTACCACAAAAAAGAGGCCAATGCTCAACTCTCAGCTCTAGACACACTAATACACTGACACTAGCACTGCCACCGTCACTAAAAAGCACTGTGACAGCGCAACACTGCACGTTGCGGCGAAACACAACACAACACACTAGTCGACGCGCACATCGCCGGCAGATGTAACCGTCGGCATTGTTCACACACTTGTAAGTCCACAGATCCTACTCACTGCGCCATGAAGGTTCCAAGTGTTCCCTGAAGGAAGCAGTGATGGGTAGGGAAACACAGGGTAACAGTGAAGTCCATTTATTCGGATAGGAGAAATACAAGTGGTGACTAGTGTGTGCCTTGCACGAGGAACGGAGTCAGACTGAGACTGCGTTGCCATATGGCAGCCTCGGGGCAATGTTGCCACATAACACGTGCAGTGTTGCCACATGATTACATATATAAATGCTACTCGGCACAGTAGCTTAGATACATAACCTACACACCGAGTATTTCATTATATAATATATTCACAACCATAAGGGCCCCTGTAGAATAAGTATAGGCCCGCATTGGTCTTCAACTGGTGGGCCATGGGGTAGTTCTCAGGTGGGCCACGGACTAGGCCCTATAGTAAAATGAAGAAAATAAGATAAAATAAGATAATAAAAAAAATATATATACACTTTTTAAATGTCCGTGTCCCACCATCGATCTATCTATCTATCTATACATACATATATACTGGAGAGAGAGAGAGAGAGAGAGAGAGAGAGAGAGAGAGAGAGAGAGAGAGAGAGTAAAGTTCAAGAAACCTTCAGCGCCTTGACGTGTGAAGGACATGATCGTTTCAAGTTCAGTACGTGTCAGGGTTACCGTTGGTTTGCTGACAGCTCGCTCAGCCAGTCAGTATCTTCTCAGCCTCAGCTCAGTGATATTTTATATTGTGTACGCGACACTCATTATTTACTAATGATATTTTACATGTTGCATTAAATGGACTTCAGTGTTATATTACGTGTGTTTTTGTGTCTATTTTTTGTGATATTGGTATCTCTTATAGACTTACACTATTTTCTTTGCTTACAAATTATTCTTGGGGATTCTCATGAGATAAATATGTCGTCCCTGAAAAAAATATCTGAGTGGCTCACAAAAGAGAAAGTTAAAAGCAGCCAAAGCTGCACAACTGCAATCAGTTCCAAAGCTGACAAAATTTTTTAAACCAAAAGGAGATTCAGAGCCAGTGGCGTACTTAGGGGGGGAGGTGGCGGGGGGGGGGTGCCATGAGGCAGGACTAAAGCTCAAAAGAACTGTTGATCATGGTAATCAAGCTGCAATGGACAGATAGAGGAACAAATGGAGGGACATACTTCATTGTCTTTTGGATGTGACTATGTTTCTAGCTCGCCAGAACCTTCCTTTTCTTGGTCATAGGGAGGATATGTTATCAATAAACAAAGGCAATTTCCTGGAACTGGTGGAGTTACTATCAAACTATGATCCTGTTTTGAAAGAACATCTTTTGGAGGTTAAGTATGCTATTCCATCTCAGACATCTGGAAGGAGAGTGAGCTCTTATTTGTCACCAAATATTCAGAATGAATTCACCTGTCTTCTAGGAAATAATGTTAAGGAAAAATTTTTGGCTGACATCAAGAAGGCCAAGTATTTTGGAATTCTTTTTGACAGTACACCTGATATTTCTCATACAGATCAGATGTCCGAAGTGATTAGATATGTTCATATTGAAGGTGATTCTGTTGAAGTAAGGGACTCTTTCTTGGGTTTCTTTCCTATTGCTGGAAAAACTGCAAATGAGCTCACAAAGGATATCCTGAGTAATGTGGAGAGTGATGGACTGGACATTAACTTTTGCCGCAGTCAAGGATATGATAATGCTGCAACTATGGCTGGTATTCATGGAGGTGTTCAGAAGAAAATCAAAGAAATAAATCCAAAGGTTTTGTTTGTGCCTTGTGCCAATCATTCCCTGAACCTTTGTGGGGTACACTCTTTTGGAACCAATCCTTTATGTGTAACATTCTTTGGAAATGTAGAGACTCTTTATGCTTTTTTCACTTTCAACTCACCGATGGGAAGTACTGAAGGAAAATATGAACCTGACAGTCAAAAGACTTTCTCAGACTAGATGGAATGCACATCATGATGCCGTAAATCCTCTCAAGAAACAATTTGAGAAGCTGATCATAGCCCTGGAAACATTGACGGATCAAAGAGAAAATGTTGACACAAGAGGATCAGCTGAAGTTTTGCTTAAAGCTGTATGTGATTTTTATTTTTTTGGGTTATCTTTCTTTTTGGTGTGATGTACTGGAAGAAGTGAATCTCACACAGCAGTATTTGCAAACAGAAGGAATAAGTCTTGAAAAGTGCACTGTAAAGCTCAATGGTTTGAAATTGTTTCTTCGAGGTCAGCGGAATGAAATTGTGGAGAGAGCGATTCAATATGCAACTACACAATGTGAAGAAATGGGCATCTCCATGGAAACAAGAGGGAGGATAAGACGTAAGAAAATGATGCCAGGAGAAATGGCTACGGATGCTGGACTGACAATGCAAGAGGAAATGAGGAGATCAATGTGTGAATGCTTAGATCGATTTAGTCTAGAATTGGATGCTCGTTCGGAGGCCATGGATAACATCTTGTCAATATTTGCAGTTATTCAGCCACGCTACTTGCATTCTGCAAAAGAAGAACAACTTCAGGGGAGTATTTCAATTTCAAGCATGACCAAGATTTTTAATGAAATTTCTGATGAGGATGTCATGGTAGAAATTATGCGACTTTGCAGACACATGGAGGCTGCCAAAATCTCACCTGAAGAAGGAAATAAATGGACAGTCTTGCAGTTCCTGAAGTTTATTGTCAAATGGGACTTTTGTGAAACCTTGCCACACTTGTCATTGTGCCTGAGATTCTTTTTAACAATATGTGTGTCTGTTGCATCATGTGAAAGATGTTTCTCTAAACTGAAACTCATCAAGAATTATTTTCGTTCTAGCATGACTCAGGCAAGATTGAACAGCCTAGCTATGATTTTTATCGAAAATGAATGTGCCAAGACAGTTAACATTGATGAAATAATTGGTAAGTTTGCTGAAGCTAAGTCACGAACGATGAGGCTGTAAAACTAATATATATATATATATATATATATATATATATATATATATATATATATATATATATATATATATATATATATATATATATATATATATATATATATATATATATATATATATATAATTTTTTTTTGCGTTAGATGAAAGTATACCGCTTGTATCTCGTGGTTTCCTGTGTTTTTAGAACAATCTAGTGCTATTGGTCAAGTTTCTGATAAAAGTGAGTTGAAGAAGGCTGCGCCCTTCTCATTGTGTAATACTTTATTTAATGGGTAACTTGTAGTTATATACAGTATGGTTTCTGTACTTTGCATATTTGAATTACTTGTATGTGCTTTGTTGTATCGTGTAAATTTTGTTGAAATTAGGAAATATATTTGTTTATATATACTGTAGATTTCCTAAACATCATCCACATTTACAAACCTGCTTTTTATTTACGAATATTACACTTGATGAAGGCTACATTATACTTTAGTAAAAAAATATTAATTTTCCATATTAATAGAAGGAAGCTAAAACATTTACTGTATAATATTTACTATGTATAATCCAAAATTCCCTAAAAGTATTATTATTTTTTTTATCCATCAAGTTTTACAGGGGTTTCACATACACTCTGTGCATTATCAGTGACTGACACATCATCACTACAGTCAGTTGACACAGTGAGTGAATGCTGGGAAACATCATCTTTGACCTCATCATCATGATGATCATCTGCAACTGTGTCAAGTTTATCATCATGTTCTGGTGCTACATTCATCTCGTCATGTGCCTGAATGATGTGATCCACATGAACATATCTCAAAGAGTTACCACATTTCACTAAATATGTCCTAGATCCACATACCTTGTCAATGACACCAGTTATCCACTTTGCATGTACAGTACCATAACCTTTAGCCATATTCCTAACTCTCACCCTATCATTTACCTTGAACACTCTTTCACTGGAACTCTTATCATGATACATTTTTTGTTGAGCTTGCTTCTTCTCTACAACTTCAAACAGACTTGGCTAAACTAAACTTAATCTTGTTCTCAACTCTCTCTTCACCATTAACTCTGCAGGAGTACATCCTGTCACACTATGTGGCGTGGTTCTGTATCTGAGTAAGAAATTTGCTAGTCTGTGTTTCATTGATTTTCCTACAGTTCCTTGAATTACCTGCTTGGAAAGTGCTTCCTTTACAATTTCAACTGATCTCTCAGCTACACCATTAGAGGCAGGATGATAGGGTGGGGTCAGTACATGCTTTACACCGTTGAGTCTCATGAAGTTTTTAAACTCTCATGATTGGAATGGAGGACCATTGTCAGAAACTACCTCTTCTGGTATTCCATGTTCAGCAAATATTAATCTTAATTCATCAATGGTGCTACCAGCATTAGTACTGTACATGTGCTTAACATCAATCCACTTTGAATGACTGTCAATTAATACAAGAAATTTGTCTGTTCCCTTATCACAGAAGTCAATGTGTGCTCTTTGGAAGGGACGGGTAGGCCATTTCCAGGTTTTCAAAGGTGTGCTGGGTGGCATACTCCTAACATTCTGACAAACAGTGCACTCACGTACCATCATTTCTATTTCATCATCCAGTTTAGACCACCATACAAAACTTCTGGCCAATGCTTTCATAGCACATATACCTGGATGTTCAAAATGCAGTTCATTCAAAATTTGCCCTCTAAAACACTGTGGAATTAACACTCTCATACCCCACAACACACATCCCTGTTCTGCTGATAATTGACATCTCCTTAAATGATACGGTTGAAAGTCTAAGGATGGACAAATCTCTGGCCATCCATTTAGTGTATACTCCAGGACTCTTCCTAATACAACATCTTTCCTAGTTTCATGAGCAATCATTCCGGAGGTGACTGGAAAATCTTCTGTTATCATGGTTACAGCATAAACCTTAGGCTCTACTCCATCATTTGATCCACTACCTGGCAACCTTGACAAAGCATCTGCATTGGAATGATCATCTGAACGTCTGTACTGTATCTCATAGTCATATGCCGACAATATCAAAGCCCATCTCTGCATTCTTGCTGCAGCAAGTGTAGGAACAGGTGATTTAGGACCCCAAATTGTCAAGAGAGGCTTGTGATCAGTTATTAAGACAGAATTCCTCCCATATAAACACTGGTGAAATTTCTCTACTCCAAATATGATAGACAAAGCCTCTTTCTCTATTTGTGCATAATTTTTCTCGCTTTGGGTAAGAGTTCTCGAGGCATATGCAATGGGTCTTTCTTCACCGTTATCCATTATGTGACTTATGACAGCACCTAATGCATAGCCCGATGCATCACAAGCAAGTTTTAGTGTTCTACTGGTACCTGTATCATAGTGGACTTAAACATCAGTACTAGACAGAGCAGCTTTACAATCTTCAAATGACTTCTGAGTTGCACTGTTCCATTTCTTTAACAGTTCATGCAGAGGGGCTAAAAATGAAGAAAGTTCACTCAAGAACCTTAAGAACATAAGAATGGAGGAAACTGCAGCGGGCCTATTGGCCCATACTGGGCAGTCCCGTTTACACCCAACCCCTATTGCTCATATAAGCATCCAACTTATGTTTGAAGCTATTCAGCGTGTTCGAGTTAATGATGACATTTGGTAACTTGTTCCATTCATCCACTACTCTGTTTCCAAACCAGTGTTTACCTATTTCGCGCCTAAATCTAAATTTGTCTAATTTAAAACCATTGTTACGAATAATATTGTATCATACCTAGGAAAGCTTTCAATTCACTGACATTTTTTGGAGCAGGTAAATTTACTATGGCTCTTACTTTATCTTCTACAGGTCTCAGCCCTTCTGCATTCACTTTGTAGCCAAGATAAGTTACTTCTTTAGCTAGGATTGAACATTTGCTCTTGTCGAGCCTGACATTGTGTGCCAACAATCTTTCGAATACTTGACCTGACTAGTCACGTCGCCCCCTTCTCTTAAGCTCCTCTACGTGTATGTTGGTGTTGGTGTGGGGATTAGTGGATGACATCATTATGACCTGAGCTCATGTTTAATAAGGTCACCCTGTATATTTAAGCCTCTCTCTGTCCATGTAATCCAGTTGCCTCTGAAGATGTCTTGAATAAAGACGAAAGCTAAGGTGCTCCGTTGTTTCCCTTTTTCCCGTGTGATTTTATCAATATATATATATATATATATATATATATATATATATATATATATATATATATATATATATATATATATATATATATATATATTATTTTTTTTCTTACGGGGAATAGCCCATCCGGGCACAGGTCACTGACCCACATCAGGGCCTGGGGGGCGAAAATATAGTGGTAGTACTAGTAGTAATAATAATAATAATAATAATAATAATAATAATAATAATAATAATAATAATAATAATAAAGAACCACAAATGAATACAAAAATGAAAAAAAAAATCAAAAGTGAGAAAATATATATGTATGTTGTGTTGTCAATAATAAGAGAAACAATTAAGACCCTGCAATTGTGTGTAATTGAGGCAGAAAGTCAGATCAGCAACCTGGGACTTGGTAACAATTTTCGTGATGCCATATAGTAGCAGGGTCTACCATAGACAACACATTATGCTTCCAATATCTTCCCAGGTGGAAGTACCTCCCTGTTTGGTAGCTGCTTAATACCTACATACACATATATAACAGGGGTGATGGGGCCTTGCTCTATGTGGTAGTTAAGGAATGCTTTGTTGTTGCAGAAGATTTTGTCGGATGTTGAATCGCCGTTTGGTCCCATCCAGGTGGTGAAGTGCGGGCCCAGGTGAAGTCGTCTGCCAGTGTTAATTATACTTTCTAATGCTGTGCCTATTTGGTTATTGTTGCCGTTGCTAAAATTGCGGTGTCTTGCATTGAAATCTCCCAGGATGTACATTGGGATATTATAATTTGTTAGTTTCATTAGGTCTTCTATAGGGAGGAATGGTCTTCTTGGGGGTAGGTATGTTGTTGCGATTATTATTTCGCCCAGTGTTGTCTGTACTTTAATGGCAAGGAATTCGCTGTTAAACATAAGAACATAAGAAAGTGGGATACTGCAGGAGGCCGACTGGCCCATACAGGGCAGATCCCTTTCACACCCATCCCAGCACTTCCATGTGCATATCCAGCTTCGTCTTGAAGCTCCCTAGCGTCCCCGATCCTACTATAGCACTCGGTAGCCTATTCCACATATCCACAACTCTATTACCAAACCAGTGCTTGCCTATATCCTTTCTGAATCGGAATTTATCTAATTTAAAGCCATTCGTTCTAGTTATTTCGTTATTACTGAGCTTCAGAACATCTTCCATTTTACCCTTGTTAATCCCGCTTACCCACTTGAACACCTCTATCATATCTCCCCTAACTCTACGCCTCTCTAATGAATGCAAGCCTAAGCTTTTCAGTCTTTCTTCATATGGAAGGTTTCTAATATTATGGATCATTTTTGTCATTCTTCTTTGTACTCTCTCCAAAGAATCTATGTCCATTCTATAATAAGGACACCAGAATTGAACCGCATAATCCATGTGTGGCCTCACTAATGCTAGGTAAAGTTTCAAGATAACGTCAGCAGTTCTGTTACTCACACTCCTACTGAGATATGAACCCAAGAATCCTGTTTGCCTTGTTGCGAACGCTAATACATTGTTTTCTAGGTTTTAAGTCGTTGCCAACAAATACACCTAGATCTTTTTCACAATCTGAGTTTTCTATTTCCGTGTTACCTAGTTTATACTTAACGTTTGTATTCGTCTTCCCTATCTGTAGTACCTTGCATTTATCAGCATTAAAATTCATTTGCCAGTCTACTGACCACTCATGTAAGGTATCTAGATCTCTTTGAAGGTGTTCAAAGTCACTGTCTGAATTTATCACTCTCCCCATTTTGGTATCATCTGCAAATTTACTAATCCTACTAGTTATACCTAAATCAAGATCATTAATGAATATAACAAACAGCAGAGGGCCTAATACAGATCCCTGGGGAACTCCGCTTTTGACCGCACCCCAGTCTGACTTAAATCCATTTATGCTGACTCTTTGTTTCCTACCAGTTAACCATGACCTAATCCATTTTAATACTGATCCACCTATTCCATGTGCTTCTACCTTCCTTATCAATCTTTCATGAGGGACTCTATCGAATGCTTTACTGAAATCTAAGTAAATTATATCATATGACTTATCATTATCTACCGCTTCATATACTTCTGAGAAAAAGCTAAGCAAATTTGTGAGACAAGAACGT